AATTCAGATGATTTGATTTTATAAATTAAAAAGGCAAATCGAATCCTATATTTTTCCTTCAACTACCATCTTTTGGTAATCAGTAAGAGACGAATCGACACAGTTGTGAAAAATTTTTTTTCAACGTCTTTACCGCCCACGGAGAATAGAGGAGGTGATCGAAAAACGATAGAATATGAAGACGAAATACATTAACAAACTACAAGCTATTGAGTCACATTATTGCAGGTCGCAAAATAATAGTGCCCAGTTTTCGTTCAAACGCGTAGTCGATCGCACGTGCCTAATAAAGAAATCCGCAAAACCCATCAGTGTTTTTACAGTCGCTCTGTTTTTGCATCCTTCAATATTTATTATCGGATTCGAGAAGGACTGGTGTATGATGAAGTTAAACATAAAGTGATTATATGATGACCCCACCACCGACTGGTGTGGGTGATCATTCAAAGACAAAAAGTAGCGCGAATGTGCATATTTTGGATTTAACCTACGACGATATGGGGTTATCGTCATACTGATGTAAATCAAGATCAAATGATGGAAACGAGTCAACAAATACCCAAATCAGCATCTATTCCCAAAATTTCAACCCATGAGAAAAGCAACATGCTAAAACTCTTCAATCTTACACAAGATAAGTTCGATACTAATCAAAATATTCACGTATTCATTGAAAAAACTAACGCAGAAAAAATAGGTCGATTGCATCCCCTCTATGTGGGACATATTTCACATAAAAAATTAAATCTTAAAGACGTAATCACATCTATTCAAAAAGTTAGATTCAACAGAGTTGAAGTTGGTCTTAAAACAACAAAAGATGCAAATGACCTGATAAACAATCCATACCTTGAACGCGAAAATTTGAAAGCATTCATCCCTAACAATTTATTGGTGAGAAAAGGAATTATCAGACAGGTCGATACTTATTTCGATGAGGAATACTTGAGAGACAATATAACTACGGATTATCCTATAATTGAAGTACATAGAATGAAGCGTAAAGTTACAAATGAAGGCAACGTTTCGTTGGTACCTAGACAATTAGTAATACTTACGTTTGAAGGTGATATACTGCCAAAAGAAATCCGTATAAATAGTGTCATCTTCGAAGTAGAACCATTTTATCAAAGAGTGATTCAATGTTTTAAACGCCTGAGATACGGACACGTTTCCAGTCAATGTCGTAGTACAAATGTCCTATGTATAAACTGCGGACAAACTAAAGGGGATGTGCACAACTGCTCAGAAGATCAAACCTATTGTTGCAATTGCAAGAATAATAATCATAAGTCTACTTCTAGATGTTGTCTAATCTTTCAAAAACAAAAAAGCATCAAAAACATAATGGCCACATCCAACATGTCATTCGTGGATACAGCAAATACTTACCAGATTCTTAGTAACCTCAGCGACAAAAACTTTCCAAGCCTACCCAAACAAGATAATAGGAACCCCTCCACCTCACGACCAAATAATCTGAATTTCAGTAAACAGAGTAGAAGGAACACTCATATATCCTTCTCACAACCCTCTCACTCTAATTACGAACCAATCAACATCACTCATTATAAAAAACGAAAAGCAATCTCACTCCCAGCAGCAGGCATTCAACATCCACCAATGTTCAGTTTTTCATCTGATCCACAGACGCCTCTACTTCCCAACCCCCTTCCCCCTCAATACCATAACATAGATAGAAATAGTGAAATCATTATCGACACAGTATTCTTCTTATTTGAGAATATCGTCAAAAAATTACAAATGTTGAAGATCTGAAGAGTGTTAACAACGATGAGCTCAGAACAAAAATACTTCCGATTTTAGAAAATGCTCATATCAATTAATACACAGAACACAATAAAATCTTGCC